CGCTAATACCTGCACGACATAAAAAAGCTGCAAAAACCGAGAAGCCTGTGTACATACATGTATATATGTTGTCGAAGATATCGGCGTTGCTGATAACACAGGGAAAAAACAAGGCTATACACACGTGCAACAGAGAAGCAGCAGACATGGAAATAGCCTGTGTATTATGTTGTCAAAGCTACTGCTGTCGTTTGACGTAGCGAGAAAAACGGCTATGGCAGTGAGGCTTGTGCTCGGTAGGAGTTCTTCTCTTGCCATTTACATACTCTAAAAAAATTATTCACACTATTTTCAGTATAATAACCCAAATCGACAACTAAACACAAGGCAATCTCAACGAAAAAATTGGAAATCTGAACAGTCAGTGGGGATTTGGAAGTTTGGAATCCAAATGGCTGCTGTTTAAAACGCCCCCTCTTACGCGGTGCACATACACGTACCTTGGCGACTGTTTAAGATAGGGTCGGGACAAGCCAGTATTTCTCTCCGAAATCCAGTTTTCTCGTGAACCGTACTGTGAAATGTATGTACTTCTCATGGTCGTGACAAGCCAATTTGACTCTCTTAAATCGGTATTTTCTCTTAAATAGTCTCGCTTAAACCGTAGCCGCCACTGTACCTTGAAAAGGTGGACCTTCTGCTCCACCACATCTGGGTGCAACAGCGCCCCCAGATCCCTCTCGGCGAACACCGCCTTCTGAAAGGCGGAATGCAACTCCACGGCGCCTGCGAAGCGGTCCTCCACGATCTCGATGCCCTGCCACATCCACATCATGCCAAGGAAATCTACACTTCAGTACTGTAACGCAGCGACAACACGGGTCTTCATCTGCAATAAATCAACACGGGTCTTCATGTACAATGAACACGGTAAACAGTAAACCGTGATGGACACCACCTCTTTACAAAGAAAAAACGGAACAATATTTTTGTGAAGACAGCAACAACAACAACAACAACAACGAGGATCAATCGAAAATACCAAACAAAAACGAAAATAACCATTTAAGCTCGACCAAGACGAAGGCGTACTTACCGCTGCCTGGCACCCTGCCCACGCCGCCGCCTGCAGCACGATCGATCCGATGCCGCAGCCGATGTCGAGGAACTTGTGGTTTGCCGTGAGCTTGCTCTTGCGGAACATTAGGTCCACCGCCGCCTCGAAGACCGAGCCATACCTACAGTAACATGCCACGCACATACACAATATTAAAGGAGGACGACAATTTTGGCTGTGAGCAAGAGCAGCCTTGTTGAGGAGCCATACAAAATGGAATCAATGAATATTTTAAGTCCCTTTCTCACGTTGCAGTGCGGTTAGACCCGGAGCCAATGGACCCCTTTAGCAATAACTAGTTAAAAAACTGCATATATAAACTACCTAATTATTTATGTCTTTCTCATATCGCAGTGCGGTTGGACGAAAACTGCATTTGTGGTAGTATATAACATCTACAACCTACTGCTGTAGACCCCTTTCTTACATTGCTGCGCGGTTGGACCCGGAGCCAATGGACCCCTTTAGCAACAACTATAGTTTAAAAGGTCTATAACATATGATGTCTTTCTCACATTGCAGTGCGGTTGGACCCGGAGCCAATGGATCCCTTGAAGGGGTCCTCGAACTCCTCGCGAGTCTTACCGATGCCGAACCGGGGGTCCTCCAGTGAAACCTTGAGAGCCCTCTCGAACGTCTTGTACGCTTGCCTGGCAAAAGAAGAAGGAAAAAAAAAAAACAGCCGAAATCACAACAACACCAAACACGCGGAGCCAGGGTCGACGCAATGCGCGAAAGAGGGAATCAGACAAGTCTTTGTCGACGCCAATGTGGTGTACTGTATTGGTGAATGTGAAGTCAACACACAGAAAATAAAAAGACACACCAAATCGCCAAACAAGTACGGCAAAAACAAAGAAATTGGCAAATCACATCGCTACAAAACGGAAAGAGAGCAAGTACTACATGCCGAGGCGAGAGGCGAGAGTACTCGAAGAGGGCATTCTTCAGGGGGGTAGGGGTGAAAAATCTAAAACACAATGATTACAATATCGAGATGATGATCCATCCAACAGTAAAACACAATCGACAACATCGAAAATGATGGTCCATATAACAGTACAACACAATCAACATCGAGTACAATGATCCACACACCAGTAAAACACAGTCAATATCGAAAACGATGTACCATATGTACAACAGCAAGACAAATTAACAAGATAGAAAATGATGATGCATGCAACAGCAAACAAGGAGACCCAAAGTGACTACTGTCCTCACTCTTGTTCGGGCGTGCCCTCGTAGGTCTGCCGAGAAGCAACCCCCACCGTGCAGAATTTTCCAGTAATTTTCCCGGGAGAATAACAACAATAACGAGACGAAGTAGGAAAAGCAGCGGAAATGAAGAGCGAGTCAAATCAAAACACATCTCAGTCTAGTCCACGCGACCATAGCAAACAGAATAGGGCCATGTTCGGCGAACAGCTACTACAGCAGGAGGGTCTGGGTAGAAAGGATACAAAACGGGCCCGGAGATAAAGAAGCGTCAAACCTGGGTCCGACGATCAGTTTCGTATTTCATCGCCGCTGTAGAGCACAGGTTGTCATGATAGAGCTCAATGTAGGATCCGCCACTGAGCTGTGTTTCTTGACCCTTGTTTCTTATAGTTGGTGAAAATTCTCGACTCTATTTTCTTTAAAGTTCATTAAAAATTGAGCCCGTGTTTATCCACAATACTACTGCTGTATTTTGCTCGGAGACAGGTGGGGAGGTCATTTTATAACAGTTTTGTATGATTTCATGACTTGCATATCCTGGAGTATGGCATGTGTGTGGGATTGAGATGAACGTATGTATAGAGATTGCTTTTGTTACACACACAAAGAGAAAAGGGAAAGTTGTGTGAACGGAACAACCAGGGTTAATTGGTTGACGGACGAATTCGGACATCTCCCAGATCTACGTATTTGGCGTTCCTATTTCGCTGCTCTGGAGGCGTGTTGGTTCCGATCTTGGTTCGGTTTTCCGGGGTCCTGCAGGTCTTTTAAAGCCGAAGACAAAGCACCGCAAGAGGGGTGGGTAAAGGGTCTCAGGAACCCTTTTGTGTGACTAGGGTTGGAGTAAACGGCACAAACGATGTCAGCGTTGCTTTGAACTAAAAGACGAAAAAAAAACAAAAACAGCTGTTATCTTGCTCGGAGATGATACACAAAAAGCTGGTATGCATAGGGAGATCATACATTGTATCATAGCACTTTTACATTAACTCATGGCTTGCACATCCTGGGACTCTTCTCTATGAATAGAGATGACCTGGTCTTTGGGAATGCTTATCCTACGCCAGACAAACTCTGTTTTGGGTGATGGTGCTGCTTCGTTATCACGCTCACGGGCTCTTGTTGGAGAGCATTTCTGCACAAGATAAAGGAGTGACTCAAGTTCCTCCAAAGCAGAGTTCAACGAGTGATGGACCGGGGCGAGGCCAAGCGGAAACTCGCGCTTAGACATGACCTTGTCTAGGCCCTTCCCCCATTCTGCTAGAAGAAAAAAGAGCAGATTTGGCCATAAGTAGCACAGGCATAAGCAGATCCGATTTCAACATGTGCTCGAGCAGAACAAGCAATGTTCGAGCAGAACAACCTGTTCCTGGAGCAGAACAAGCAAGAAAATGAGCAGATATGCCTACTGTATATCCCACTCTGTATCACTACTGATTGGGCGCCTTTATGTGCCGGAGACGGCTAGAAAGGGGAATAATTGGGCTTAATTGGGCCTTGGGTCACTTAACCCTTTTGGGCTTTGGGTCTACAGGCGTCCTGACAGATCATTGATTGATCATTTGTAAATGCTGGTGTTGTGGCATGCCATGGAGTTGCCGCCCTGCGTCCCTCCACGCCAGGTGTTGGCAAGTCAATAGGTAGGTGTGTCTATATTATTCGCATCGACCGCGTACCCGGTGACCAATGAAAAGACGTTGTTAGTGCCAGCGGGTAATATCAAGGTCCCTGGAACGGCCAAAATTCGAAAAATGCACACTGCTCTAAATGCGAATGCCACCATGAATCTCTCCCCATATCCTTTCACAGAGACACACATCAATAGCTCCACATACATGCCTTCGCCCGAATCTAGCAAGCAACATGCAAAGACAGGAGGACAGCGAAAAGGAGCACTTCAAGCCCAACCAGGCCAGGATATCGTGGTATGCTGCATATCCTCCAAATCTGAAAATCGTACACTCCCAAGATCCAGTAGTCATCATAGCAGCTATGCTACACAGCAGCAGCAGTATAGACGAGTTCAACATACAGCAGTACTGTAGTAACACATACACTATCATCATAGCCCCACACATACCCTCGCCCGAACCTAGAGAGCCACTGATGCAAAGGTAGGTGTGTGCTGGTGTGCTTGCGTGCTTGTAGGAATTGTGGTAAAATCACAGGAGCTGTAGTGAGCCGGCAGGGCTCACATTGGGGAGGGGACATAGAAGTACAGATACAAGAACCAGCTATGGGTCTACAAGCCCTCTCACTGATCATTTTCACTGATCATTTGACTATACTGAATAGAGTAGTTTAGGCGGCTTGACGATTGATCTTGTCGAGGTCTACAAGCCTAACCTGCCCTTGCGGCCGCACCGCGACCACGCATCAACCCTTGTACGACTCTGTCTGTGCCCACCGTCCTGTCGCGGGCAGCCCTCATGGCCTATGGGTGAAGATAGCTGTTGCGTCTACAGAAGTACACTCGTCTCTTTCTGCTGTACTTTTGTCTCTCTCTCCGCACTGTCTCCTCCTTTTTAATTGTTTTCCGCAAAAAAAAAAAGACCTAGACCCAAAGGGGATAAAAGTAGTAAAGGCACTCGGTGGTACGCGACGAGGTCGATAAGGCAAAGAGCAGATATCGAGAAAGCAAAGGAGGAAAAGGCATGTTTGGGCCCAAACAGGCATAAGTGAGAGCATAACCACGGGAAAAAAATGGCACAACTGGCCGTTGACGGAACAACAAGCATTAGGTGGAGAGAGCATATCCGCCGAAAAGTAGCATAAAAGAGCGAAATTGGTCCAAAATAACGAGCATAATTGAGGGCACGACGGGCGAAAAGGAGCAGAACCAACGAGCAGATTGGACTTTTGAAGCAGATGCTTGCCGAAAAAAAGGAGCAGATAAAAAAAAAAGAGCAGAATGGGGAAGGGCCTAACCTTGTCTGTGCATAGAGATGACCTTGCCTTGTTTTTGTGAAAAAAAAAAAATGTAACTCCAACTCACCTGCTCCTGAGTGAGCACATCCACGACGTCCACCTTCAGAAGGTCGTACCCACACTCCGGGCAACACAGCCGGAAGTTCTCGCTGTCCCTCAACTCCATCACCTCCGCCCCTACCCCGCCCAGCACCCCCGCCAGGCCAACGCCCCCTGGAACTCCCCACAGCTCTGAAGATGTGGTCGTTGCCTGCCTCGTGGCTGCGGTGAGCGTCGACGGCATGCCGTTAGCCGCGGGAGCCGCCGCCGCCGCCGCCTCTGGCGTGGCTGCATGCACAAGACAAAGCGAACTGTCATTAGATAGGCCGCCTCTTGGCGTGGCTGCATGCACAATACAAAGTGAACCGTCATTACATAGGCAATTGAAACCGTCATTCGATAGGCCGCCTCTGGCGTGGCTGCATGCGCAAGACAACGCGAACCGTCATTAGCAATAATGGGACAAGCGTGCGCGCATGTGTCTATGTGTGTATTTTTCTTAATTAGCATCGACCGCGCTAACCAGCTGACCAATGAAAACACGTCAGTCTGGTTAGGATCGACCGCGCTACCGATTGACCAACGAAAGGACGTCAGTCTCGGGAGTCGCCACCGCCGCCGCTGCCGACTCTAGCGTGGCTGCATGTACAAGGCAAGCGAACCGTCACTCGATAGGCCGCCTCTTGGCGTGGCTGCATGCACAAGCGAATCATGACTAGATAGAAAAAATGGGACGCGCGCACATGCGTGTCTCTATTTCTCGCGTCGACCGCCCTGCTAAACGACTGGTCAATGATAAACGTCAGTGCCAGTATAAATAGGTTAAATCAAGGTCCCGGAAGGGGACCGTAATTCGTGTCTGTGTGTTGATTGGTATGGCATCGAGCGTGCTGCTTACCGGCTAAAAACCGACTACGCTCCTAAGGTCATCATCAGTGTGTAGTACTAGTACTAATTTGGACCGACCGTGCTGCCAACCGGCTAAAAACGGGTTACGCTCCTAAGGTCATCATCAGTGTGTAGTACTAGTACTAATTTGGACCGACCGTGCTGCCAACCGGCAAAAAACGGGTTACGCTCCTAAGGTCATGATCTGTGTGCATGTACTGACTAGCATCGACCGTTCTCCTAACCGGCTGACCAATGAGAAGACGCCAGTCAGGTGTGGCAAAAAGCGTCAAAACGCTCCTCAAGGCCATGATCTGTGTTTGTCCATCTGGCGAAGGGACTATTGCCATGGCCCCTCCGTGGCACACGCTACCAACGAACAGCCACTGCATGAGGTACAAGAGGGTTGGAAACGAAACAATTACAACAGCGAAAGGGGGCGTCGGTTGCAACGAACGCTACGACACCTGCATTGATAGCTTTAGCATTGCAATTTTAGATTTGGGGGGGGGGGGGGGGGGGGTACACACACCGAACCATCCATCCATCCCTGGAGGTCATCACCTAGGGCACATAGCAAAAGTCCTAGCTCATAAGACAACCGTCGGTGAAAGATTATTTCGACGTCCTAACGCCGTCTCGAACCCTCTGCCCTACCTTGCACACCCTGCTCGCTCCGCATTGCAGTACAGCATGCTCGCCACATTGCAGTACGGCAAAGCGTGATAACCACGCGCATATTATCTCCCCGGTCTACGCGGCGAATCTAGCAATCGTAATCCCCTGAAGTACTTGAAGAGTCACGGTTCGGGTTCGGGTTTTAGTAGGGACGGTGCTCCTTGTCTCGTAAACGGTGCCTTGTCAATGGCAACAAATGACAACCCCCCTTGGTCTAACGACTACGGCATCCACGCCTAGGGGTATGAGCGAGCCTGGTCCGGTGAGAACCCGGCGTGCTCCGTCCCGGCTTTGTAGGGATGCGAGGTCAATGGTCTAACGACTACGGCATGCACGACTATGAGTACACACACACCCCCCCCGCCCCCCCCCGGCCCACGGCGCACCTTTGCCCCTCGCCAAGCACTTGCGGTGGAACAACATCCCCTCGCACAGCTCCTTCCCGCTGCCGCAAGCCCACATGGGCTGAGACGCGCACCTCATCAAGCACGAGCTGCACCTCCGCTTCTTCTTCTCCTCCATCTCGTCCTCCACCTTCCTGGGCGGGACAGCGCGAGGGGGGCGAGTTCCGCCAGACCTCTGCACACACACAGACACACACAAACACACCGGCACACAAGAGAGTCAGTTCTGTCAGACCTCTGCACACATACTGCTGTCGGTAGCAGTCTTTTAATAGAAAGCAGTCCCACCACAAGACTGACGTCTTCTTATCCCGCCACAAGACCAAGACTAACGTCTCTCAATTTTCACTGGTCTACAGGGTAGCGCGGTCGATGCTAATTCAACTTAGACGCACACACACGAGAGTCAGGTTTCGGAAAAACGGCGTCGTGGTTGTAAGAGACCTGGGCATCATGCGAGGAGTAATGTTTGACTTTGCTAGAAGCCGCAACACCTCTCTCTCTCTCTCTCTCTCTCTCTCTCTCTCTCTCTCTCTCTCTCTACTAATATATATGTATATCTCCATGGGCGTCTTCCTCACCTTGGCGATGACCAGGCCTCTCTCCAGCTCCTCTCCCGTGCATAGCGGGCACACGTACTCGCCCTACAAAAAGGAAACGGGATTCCGTTCCGTTCACAGGGAAAATAAAAGCGGGAGGGGTCCGCACGCAAAAAAACAGGGGTGGGTGGGGATATGGGCATTGCCGTAGTAGACCCTCGCATCTCTGCAGATTCGTGGCGAAGCACGTCGGTTTTATTGTCGACAAGTCAGGCGCTGCCTCTTGCACCTACCTACATATGCATACGCAAGTCGCAAGAGAAAAGGATGAATAGAGAATAGAGTGGCATGTCAACAACCGCCGGTACACTTTGCGTTAGCAGTAACTGAGACGCACACACGTAAATATCGTGAGCCAAAGTTGTCGACGTACGGACATAAAGCCGCCTTTGAAAATAAAAAAGAACGAATTCCAACGGAAGACCTTCATCGCTTTCCAGTTTTGTCGTGGCTTTGGCGGGGGGGGGGAGTAAGAGCCGCTGGGCGTCTTGAATTCCTGGCCAACGGCTTGTGTCGTGCATCATAGCAACTGAGTACTAGGTTACTTGATACCCCGATGGTCGCAAGAAAAAATGAAGTTAACGTTGGAGACCTGTACAAAGACAAATACAGCAGGCTTCCGGAGGAGGAGGAGGAGGGGGGGGGGGACTTCCATTGCCTACCTCCGGAGGCGTGTCCAGGGGCTGCGGTAGGCAGTAGCAGTGGAAGTAGTTGTAGCACTTGTCCCTATCACATACAAGGATCAGGTCGTCCCGGTCGTTGCTCCCGCAGGCTAGGCAAGGGTCCTCGCAGGCAGTGTCCTTGCCGGCGTCCACGCACCGCTGACAGTAGAATCTGTCGGGCACCTGAAAGGGGGGGGGGCAGGGGGGTGATCCCAATCCAAATTTAAAATTAGCTGAGGAAGGTTTTAAAGTTATTGAGTCGTCTTGCTTTCTAATGATGCCCGCGCCAGGAGCAGGAAGGCTTCTTTGTCGTCGCCGTCGCTTGACGGTAACAATATAGCATACGAGGCATGCTTGGAAGGGGGCTCATGGGGGGAGAAAATCCTATGCATGCCGATACATGTTGAATTTTTTTCGGTGGCATGACCGTCATACCTCTCACTGTACGGGGTCGAACAACCTACGAGGGAAAAAACGTTGACATTTTTCGGTGACACGACCGTTTTATGACAGCCACAAACAGCATCCATCGTGGCGGCAAAACCGCAAGCATACCTCCTTGACCGGAGGGGTGCAGCACTTCATGTGCACGCGGCGGTTGCAGTCAAAGTCCGCGCAGTACATGAGCTCATCCTTGGCATCTTGACCGGCCGCCTTTTGGCAGTAGAAGCACGTAGGGTCTGCGTAACGCAACAACAGACGACAGCAAACAAACTCAAAATAAGCCCAGTTTCCAGTCGGTGTCAATCCACTTACTGAAAATACTTCAACCCATCCTTTTCGACTGAGGTTATATCTCGAACGGATAGTGTTTCTGTGAGGTTATGTTTCCTTTCTAAACAACAACGATAGCAGCGGCAGCGGTAAGACCAGCAGCAGACGAAGTAGTCGGAGTGAGTGCGAGGGGTGAGGCCGTGTTAGGTGTTAGGGCAGTATCATACAACCTCTGCCTCCGAAAAAAAAGCAGCAGCACTGGTTGGATATAGGGGCCGCAATGACCTCTTCCATCAAACGCCACACACACAAAAAAAGAAGAAATAACTCCGAAAATCCACTCGAACGCAAGTTCGAATCTTAATGGCAATATTCCCTCTCACCTCCAACCAAATACCAGTGTGTTGGGTGTGTTATGTTTTGGGTGTATTGGGATTTTTGTAGATTTTGGTCGTGAGGACACAATAATACGGGTATTGGGGTGTTTCTTACTTTTTAGTTTTGGGGACGCATTGCAATATGAAGTAAGGCTAGTAAGTGAGGACAAGCACCGTGGTTGCTATAATATATATAGAAAAAATGAAGTGTTTCGAAGCAAATGGAACCGTGTACGCTACACAGTCTACCACACGGCTGTGGACACTAACAACGCAATCCTAGCGCAGGACAGAAAAGACCTACAAGTAGTGACAGTGCAGACAGACAGAAAGACCTATTGTAGTGTGTGTGACGTGCGAGTGCACCCGAAGGGTTTGCTTTCGAAGCCACGTCAAAAGAAAAACCGACAGACACTGAAAGACAGAGAGAGAGAGAGAGAGAGAGAGAAAGAGAGACAGAGACACAGAGAGAGAGAGATATAGAGAGTCAGAGAGACAGACAGAGAGAGAGAGAGACAAGAGAGATAGACAGACAGACCGACAAACAGAAGCTCAGCCCCACCTTCCGTCACGCCCTCCGCCACGCCAACCACCTTCGCCCGCTTCCCCTGGCGACGCGCATCCCCCCCGCCGCCGCCCCTCTTGCCCCTGCCCAAGCTCCGCCCTTCCCCTTCCCCGCTCCCATCCCCAGAACAACACTTGCTCGTCATCTCCGCAGCACCATCGTCGTTTTCCTCCTGCTCCACGCCCTTCTTACCAGAGCCGACCTTGCGAGCTCGGGCACCGGTGCTCTTGCCGGTAGCCTTCGCAGCAGGGTTTTTCGATAAAAAGTAACGTGTTGGATACAGCATGGAATCGGGGGAGGTTGGGCTAGGGTTATCAAATAAACATGTCGGATACAGCATGGAATCGGTGAAGTTGGGGTTCGGGTTATCAAATAAACATGTTGGAAAACGCATACAATTGATGAGCAAGTTGGGTTCGGGCTGTCAAACAAACTTGTTGGAAAAAGCATGCAATTGAGGAAGTTGGGTTCGGGCTGTCAAATGAACATGTTGGATGGAGCGATGCAATTGCGGGAGGTTGGGTTCGGGTTATCAAATAACCATGTTGGGGACAGAGCACGCCATTGGGGGAGTTACGTTAGGGCTAAGAATAGGATCTGCGTACTGTACCCTTCCCTTGTTATATTTCCTCAGAAACTATTCCCTCAGAAACTCAATTTCTCGCGAAGGCTGTCGGTCCGGTCATGCTTACCCTTGACCCTTCATCATCCGAGGAGTCCGTCAACTCTGCGTCCGCCCCCGTGTACTTGTGCGCGGGCCTGCCCGACTTGCGCTTCTGCGCCTGCGGGTTGCACTTGGGATGCTTGGCCTTGAACTCCTGGCGGGGTGGCGTTAACGGAAAAAAGGGATTGAAGGGATTGGCAAGCGTGCACGCAGAAAAAAAATCTTGCTACCTAGGCACCTACTTTCAGATACAAGTTGCGTAGTGACTTTGGCATCACAGGGTTAGAGTCGGGTCTGGAGGTTGCTCGCAAGAACAACTATGGGCCGAGTTGAAATGGGGTGCATCGTGGAACAAAGACAGCGACAACAGTCAGGAGGTATCGTAGAAGCAACACCCACACCCCAAAAAATATGCTATCCTCTGTGTTAGCGTGTGCTCAGCTAAAGCAGTAGCGACACCAGTAAAAACGTTGCGCCAACAACAACATTACACCTTGCGTGTGCTCCACAAAGGCCCCGTCCTCTCGAGGAACGCGTCGTCAATGGCCTAACAGCTTGTAATAGCCATGCAAAACATGAGTACGCCCCAATGGTCTACCAGCTTGTAATAGCCATGCAAAACATAAGTATGTAAAACATGAGTACGCCCCAATAGTCTACCCGCTAAGAGCTACAGTCAGTCTTGGTCCCGGTTTAGCGGTCCATAGTGTCACAAAATGTTATGACCGCTATTGAGGGCATCGCCGCTAAACCGGATTGATCGGCAGTTACATTGCACAGTTTCCCTACCGATGTGCAGCCTTGCCACGAGATTTTGGAACCGTTATTCAGGGCATCCCGCTAAACAGGGAAGGAACCGCTAAACCGGGACCACGGCTGTATGCAAAACAACAGACTACTCCCCCCGGACACAATATACAACACGAACACCAACAACACCCTGCGTGTCCTCCGCAAAACCCCATCAACTCTTGAGCCATCTCTCCACAGCTTGTCTTCTCACCGCCAGGCACGGAGCGCACATGCCCCACGCGTGGTGCCTCCTGCGGCAGGCGGGCATGGTGCAACTCGGCCATAGCCTTGGCCTCGGGACCTTGACCTTCTTCACCGGGTACCGCTTCATGAAGCACTCCCGGCAGTGGCCCTTTCCGTAGTCCCCGGGCCCCCGCCCGTACGCCCTCGCCTCCCCCTCTCGAACATGCTTGCACATCTGCTCGGCGCAGCAGGAGGAGCGTTTTGTTGGTTGTTTTTGTTGGGGGTACGGGTTGAACAGCAAACATCGCTAGAGGGTGAAGCGAGGAGACATTTTGGAGCACGTGATACAATGCTGCTCCACGTTTCGTTGCTTGCGGTGTGTACAGTAAAGAAGGCTATTTTAACATACATAGGTACGGGGTGAAACCAGAAGACGTGTCGAAGCAAGAGATACAATATTGCTCAATGTGTTATTACTGGGGTGTGCTAGCCCAGGTCGAGGAGCTATTGGGGATTGAGAGCCAATGCCAAGCGCAAGGTCTTGCAGCAGAACGCATGCCGTTCAACAAACAGCTCGTACGACAAATCCTTGGATCGAAATTTCCTGGAAATTCCAGAACAATCGCGACATCGCGATGTTGGGATGAACGTGTGCCTCGAAAACAACAAAAAACACACAAAAAATATATATACACTATATATATGTACATATAAGATTTGGTCACTTTTCATGCTTCGGCGTTTCTTTCTCTCGCGGCAGCGAGTCTTTTGTCGCAATTCCTTCTCAGGGGCACGCAGGAGGCTCGTCGGTACATTAACGCCCGTGCCCGGAGCGCGGTAGGCCTCCGTGGCGCGTGTGGTTGACGGCCAAAGTTGCGAAAACTGGCTCAAAACCCCGGGGACGCGTTCCGCGCTGACAAAGCCTGGCGAACCAATTCTGAAACCTATCAAACCCATCAAATACGACGGTTTGAAATATTTGCCTCTTGCTTCTCCACTTTCATTCGCTCATTCATTCGATGATTCATGGCTGTGACTCTCCGTGTCATCGCATTGTCCAACAGCAGTGCCTACGTTTACTACACTTCGCAGCGGGCCAGACAAGTCTAAGAGCATGCATCCAGCCGCAGTGTTGAACATGTCCCATTTGTGGTGTTGTTTCGGCTTCAAATAAAATCGGTTCTCATCGGAAATCTGCCATCATCAATCAAAGACATCATGGAAGTCTGAGTTTTCGCTGCCAAAATATTGTCCGCTCGACCTGGCTCCAATGTAGAATAACAACGTGCGCGATGTTTTGTGCGGAAATACAAGCGTTGTAAGACACACAGTCCCTCTTCGGGCAATGCGCAGGTGGTCTTGCGTCACCTGAGGGAGGGTAGACACCCACGTCCCGAAGGGAGACCTTGTACAGTATATATATCGACGAAAACACGCGTCGTACAACCAACATTGCCGGAACAAACATGAGTGCACATCAATCATGCTCCGGCGACATCAATTTGTTCTGTTCTCTCACCCTGATGCCGGCCCTGGTCTTGATGGAGGCGTTTCTGCAGGCCGCGCACTCCCCGGACTTGTTGACTGGCTCGGCCAGCCCTTTCCGGACGTGCTTGCACACCCATATCTTCACCCTGTCGAGAAGCAGCACACGCAAATCAACAAACTTACACTATGAATTTGCTGGTATATCCTAGACCAATGTCTACGGAGATATGTTCGTTGGGTTATAGCAAGAAAAAAACACAAGAAAAAAAGGGCAGGTTTGTGTAAAGGGCGAAGACAATAATAAACAAACCGAGTTTATTGGAACAATTCGAATTGCCACGCCGTCTGGCACAGATGGAATATTCAAGATGGTTAATACATTTAACAGGGCGGATTCCCTGTATAGGGCGGGTGAATCGGTCTGGCGCATCATACCCGCCTTGCAGAGCGCCTACGACTGTACCCGGGAAAGTAACACACTAAAACACACACAACACAAAACCAAGCAACAGAAACACCAAAAACCAAGAAAAAGAAACAACCATATCGAACATGAAACACAACAATGGGCTGGGTGGAAAAAAGACAAAATATGCATACATCAGTAGAAAAAGGTCGCGAGGCCCCATGTTTCCGGGGCGCACCATGGAGTTGTCGCAGCCGTACTCATGGATGGATACCACTGGTATAAAGCCTTCCTTCTTCTGCGACCAATACTACAAGAGACTGCCTCACACGCAAACATATCAAGAGAAAAACAACGGCTAATTTATCCTGTAATTTGCTTGTGTTGATTGTAAGAAATGAATTAAATTTGCTCCGTTTTTGCAAGAAAAAAAAACAACACAAAATCACACACAAACCGTGTCTGTCTATAATCCAAAGGGTAGCGTAGACTTCACTCCCCCATGACGCTCGGTCACAAAAGGGTCCCAGATTGTGGCCTTTTAGAAGCATTTTGTGTTTTCAACTGCACCGAGATTGACAACTTTTCATCGGTCAGCGGCTAGCGCGGTCGATGCTACTAAGAAACACACATCCAAACCGCACTGAGGCTACGTCGTCATTGGTCAGCTGGTCAGCGTGGTCTGAAAAAGAAAAAAAAAATACACATAGAGGAGGAAGCACTCACGGGGGCGCCTTCTCCTCCTCCTCCTCCTCCTCCTCCTCTTCCTCTTCCTCCGAAGACGATTCTTCCTCGGTCTCCTCCTGCCCCTCCATGTCTGAAGGAGATCCGGTCTCTCCCTCTCCGCCTTCCCTCCGCTCTATGCCTTCTTCATCGTTGGCGGCGGTCATGTCCACAATAGGTGGCGCCGGCGTGGCCGGCTTGCGCCTGTAGGACTGTTGTTGTATGGGTCACGCGCCGCCGGGGGGGGGGGGGGGACCCCTTTTTTCCTGCCCCAGTTTTTAAACCATTTACCCGGGAAGGGGTGTGTGTGCCTGCCGGAATCCTTACACCATTTACCCCCCATCCATCCAAAACCCGGACCGCGGGGGAAAAACATGTTTTGCACCCCCTAAGGGTTAGGACCCCTGACCCCGGAGGGGAAGGCGAACCACCCCCCAGAATTTCAAGGTTCAACCGTAAAAAAACATTTACCCCCCCTCCCCCAAAAGAAGGAACATTTTTCCCCCCCCACCCAACACCCAAGGCCAATCCTTTAACAAAAGTCCCCCAAAAACCTTTTTCCCGACCCCGTGCCCAAAACCCGCTGGGCCCCCGCATCCCCCCCGCCCAAGCATGTAAACCCCCCCCCCACAACAACCCC